GTAAGCTGTTTGTTTATTGAAATACTTTCAGCTGTTCCTTGTCCAATAATGGAACAATGTAGTTTCCTTGGATAAGTTATTTTTCGATATGGACAAAATGCAAAGAATTGCAAGCTTTTCTTCTGGAAGCAAACACACCAGAGTGGGCCTGTTTAATTTTCGTTATGTTTTGCCTTTTTTGGGGGGGGGAATTCATACATAGCTGGGTGAGGAAATTAATATTTTAACAGTACGGAATTACAGCTGACTGGGGACGTTGTCTCAGCCAAAAAGTGTCTTTCTCGGCTCCCTTATTTATAAATAGTCATGGAGTCCTCAGGAAGACGTGGTGTCTGCAAAATGCATCCTTAGCTCATTTACCCGAGCAGAATAATGGAGATGTTTAAAGTTCTCACTTGAAACTTCCCCGTCAGCGTTTTGTGCCTACTTGCTCACATTGTTGATTGTGTCCCGTTTCTCATCTGATAGGCCACGCTGTTTCAACAAGGAATGTTTCTGATCAAATAGCCTAAACATAATTTTCTGTTATTAGGAATAAAGAATAAAGTTCTGTCTGTCTGTCTAGTCCAGGGGTAGGCAACCTTGGCTCTTTTATGACTTGTGGACTTCAACTCCCAGAATTCCTGAGCCAGCATGGCTCAGCTTGGAAACCTCTCCCTTTCCCCTCAGCATGGCTGGCTCAGGAATTCTGGGAGTTGAAGTCCACCAGTCATAAAAGAGCCAAGGTTGCCTAGCCCTGGTCTGGTCAATCTCACTGACCAATAAACAAACAAACAATAACATGAACCCCAGAAAAACCTCCCCCTAAGGACAAAAACCATTTGCAACTATTTGTGAGTGAAAGCTTAACACAACCTTCTCCTACATTTTTAGAGGCGCAAACTTATGTTTTATTATTTAACAGGTGGGGCTGATAAAAAGCTGTAGTGAATGCTCCAACACTGGAAGTTTTTAAGAAGAGACTGGACTGCCATTTGTCTGAAGTGGTGTAGGGTTTCCTGCCTGAGCAGGGGGTTGGATTAGATGACCTCCAAGGTCCCTTCCAACTTTATTATGGATCATTGCACAGTCAGCCAGATGTTCAGACTGGATTTGGCATTTTGTCTACCTATCGAGTCCTTACCCAGGACCTGGGATAGGCAGATGTGGATGTTTGATGGTATTACAGGTATCGTCGCAGGATGGAAGCAGTTCCTAGTAAGGCCGCCTTTTGCAATTGACTAATAGCGAATTTGTCAATGCCAATGGTGTTCAAGTGGTGCTCCAGTTGTTTTGGGATTGCACCCAAGGAGCCTATTACTATTGGTACTACCCTTGCTTGCTTTTGCCACAGTCTTTCTATTTCTATTTGTAGGTCTTTGTATTTTGTTATCTTCTCCAGTTATTATTATTATTATTATTATTATTATTATTATTATTATTATTATTATTATTATGTGCCGTTGACTCAGGGCTGACATTCCTGTAGAACGTATGCATTCATATAAACTAGCAAAGGGCTTTCCTTCTTATTTCCCAAATACGTCACCACTCCATTAAAAAAAATAAAAAAGCACCACCTCTATGTCTTTTCTTCCAAAATTAAAGTAAATAAATAAATAAAAATGCAATCCAACCCAGAAAAGAATCTTTCCTCTGTTGGATACTCTAAATAAGCAAGACTGCCGTCCAAGGGAGTTAAAAGGGTTAAGACCGACTCTTTGGCAGTGACATAACACAGGCGTGGTTTTTTTTAGGCAATCCGGAGTGTGCAGAGACATGATAATTCGCTGGGTGGAGACTACACGTTGTTGGGGCAGTGACTAGGGGACAGGTCTGGGCTACTGATCTACCAGAAAACAGCCTGAAACAGGAAAGAACACACATACGCTACTTGGAATGTGTGACGCAAAGCCCAGCCTTGAAACAAAGAACAGGAAACAGGGCTGGTGGTTCTCTCTCTCTCTCTCTCTTTCTTTCTTTCTCTCTCTCTCTCTCTCTTGGCTGGAAAGAAAGAAGGCCAGAGAAACATCTAAGTGACCTTTCCTGACCCTCCGGCTCATGTCAGACGGAGAAGGGGCGGACGGATTCTGCCACCGACAAACCCACAAACGCAGTCAGAGGAATCAAAACAACAGCCTCTATCCCTAAGAAAACGGGTTAGGATCTCCCATAAGGCAATGCCGCCACCACCGCCGATGTCCTTCTCCACCCCAAGCTGCTCAAAATTATTGAAACGACTTTTAACGTAAGATCTAAAATAACGAATGAGAACCCTAAGGATGCTGGAACGCAGAGTTTGATTCCGTTTGCAAAAATAAGAATAAAATTAGAGCACCGTTTTAGGCTAAGAAAGCGACGGCCCAACCCCCCTGCCCAAATAGGAGTACCCTATATCATTTCAGACAAACGGCTGTCCTGTCTCTGTCTACCTTGGTAACATCTATTCATGCAGATCAGTTCCGCACAAGAATCTCTGTTGAGAATGCCACGGTATTATGGAGTAAATAGGCAATGCCACCCTCAGCTCGGTGACTATCAAAACATGCCCGTGTAATTTTCTTAGCTGCAAGACAACAACAGTTTACCACACTGCCAACTTCTGGATGTTTTCTGACTTCCGATCTAGTTTTATAGATCTGGGATCTTACGGTGTATTAACCAGATGAGATGATGCTTAGTTTGTGGGGGTCAGTCCAAAGGCAGCAAAGTGCTGGAAACTTACATTGCTATCTCTAGCCAAGATACTTTTTAGAAGAAAAAAAAAAAAACCCACACACACACCAGCAACAAATCCTGAAACATTAAGCTAAGCTTTTGTTTAGAACGTAAATGAGCCACAGGATTTAGTGATATCTACACAGTGATCTGGTTTTTATTCACTGAGGTTTGTGACTGAGCAATAAAACGATGCCTCCTCTTAAATTGTTTGTCTGAACTATGCCGTAACTCAGAGACACAGCTAGTCCTTGACTTTACGACTGCAACTGAGCCCAAAATGTATGTCGTTAAGCGAGACATTTGCTAAGTGAATTTTGCCCCATTTTACGACCTTTCTCTGCAACTGTGAAAAACAGTCGTCCCTTTTTCCAGCGATGTTGAGGCTTTGAATGGTCACTAAAATGAACTAGTGTAAAGGGAAGATTACATGTACCAGTTGCGAAGCTGGTTCTGTTCAAACAAAGCATAATAAGGATTAACCACTCTTTAGGAGCAAACACGATTTCTAAATTCACTTGACCTTCAGTACGCTTCACGATAGATCACCATGTCTACCGTGATATTGGAGCTCTTTTTGAAAAGTGGTGCCTACACTTTGCATTGTTTTTTTTTATAATGCTGATGTTTAACAATCACACCCTTAAGCAGAACTGCACATAAACCCTTTCGTCACTTTGCATTAGCCCAGGCAACTGAAGCAAAAGTTTTCAATCCCCAATCTCCACTGCCACAGACTACTAGTGAAATCCACACTTTTTCAGTTACTCATCTTAGTAGGGCAGGGGTCTTCAAACTTGGCCCTTTGATGGCTTGTGGACTTCAACTCCCAGAATTCCTCAGCCAGCCACACATGGCTGGCTGAAGAATTCTGGGAGTTGAAGTCCACAAGTCATCAAAGGGCCAAGTTTGAAGACCCCTGGATTAGGGGGAATCCAACTCTTAATTAATAATAAAGAGAAATGTTGTGCATCAAGCAATCTCACATACAGTCCAGGCTTATTTGGAATGAACTCAAAAATGAGTTAAAGGCAGCTTACCCCCAAAGTAAATATATACCCAGTGCTGTAACCTTTGATTAATATGTTTGCCTCCTTTTTTTTTCAAAGAAATATTCCAGTTTTTTCTAACCTGTTGCCCTGTAGATTGCACTATCTATATACTAACCTGAACAACAGAGGCCCAGCTATTATAACTAGAAGGGTGGGATCTGCAGCAGAATATCTTACACAGGAAAAGAAAACAGACTTTCCTCTCTACACAACAGGTCACAGTGTTAGTTCTGACTACTTGTAAAAAAAAAAAAAAAGAAGAAAGGCGTAAGGTTCAAAGAATCAGCTTTCTTTATTAATCACTCTTATTCTCTGAGTTTATTTTCAATGTCAAGTTTCTTTATCAGTATAAAATTCAGAAAAAGCAAAAGTTAGAAATCTGGACTTGTTGGTTCATTTTGGCAAGTGCTAGGGTGATTATACACTTTGTGTACTGTATGCCTGTGTGGCACTCATGCTGTCAGATGAAGCATTAGTGCCACACAAGCACACACAAAATACATAAAACTACCTTGCGCCTAAATACAGGGGTAATGTTAGATTGACAGAACCTTGTTTTGATCAAGTCTGTGGTGAACAATTGGTCAAACACTTGAAAACTACCCTGGGATGCCAAAAAGCAATCTTTGTGACAACAGAAGAAAAGTCTATAAGTTAAAAACTGTGACTCTATGTGCTAATGACTTCACGTCAACTATCTGCCTTTGACTTCACGTCAAAGTTTACATTTTCCCAGAAACTAAAAAAAAAAAAAACCCACCTGAACCTGGTGTAAACTATGACATTTGCAACTATGAAAAAAGAACTTAAATGACAATTAATTACCCACTGATAACAATAATTTAGAAGAGGGTGAATTTTCCCCTCTTGACAGCAATTTCTGTATCAAAAAGGGAGCACATTCAAAGTATGTCAGAAGTTTTTAATTTATTCAAGAATCACATTCGAAGGATAAGTACAAACTCTGCATCTCACAAGCCTTCCAAATAAGCAGTTTACACTTTTCTTAAACAACCACAAAGCAATATTTGGGGGTGGGGGGAAGTCAAATATTGATGTCTTTTCCAATTAGGTTTAAATATTCTACTATTTACCCATCATTCTGCCATTTCTAGGGGTGTTATATAAACGTGACTGCCATTTTAACACAAATCAATACAGATGTCATAAATACAGGTGTGCGTATGCACACACGCATAGTGTGTGCGCTTTAAAAACCAGGAGCAATATAGTCACACCGCAATATAGTACCTCCATGTCAAAACGTATGTGTTCTGAAGTTAGATCCAATCTTTGTTTGTTTGTGTGTGTGCATGAAAACACACGGACTCGTATTCTACCAAACTCTTTTTAAGAGCGTGTTAATTTTGTCCAAGTCAGACGGGCGGCCGACACATTTTCTAAGTAAATAAAAAAACAAATCAACGTTCAGATTGACCCACCTTCCCTATCGGCAGCCAAGTTTATTTAGGGATCTAAGAGCGACCCTCCGCCAATTCAAAATAATCACAACCCACCACCGGTGTTCCCATCTTTTGGCGGATGTACGAAGTCCAGAGAACAGGACTGAGCATGGTTAAAGGGACACAAAAAAGCAGGAACTGATTTAAGTGGATTTCTCCCAGATTGGGAATTGAAAGGGTCACATTGGGGGGGGGTCAAGAAATCAGGTCACCCATGTGGGGGGCTCACAAAGGTTCTTTCCCAAGAATGGGGGGGGGAATAGTCCAGTGATTGTGGTTGTGGTTGCAAAAAAGCTCTCTCCAACCACTGGGGGGGCTTTTGTTTCAAGGCCTTCCCTTTCCTCCCCCCCCCCCAGCTAACCCAACTAAAAACATTTCTCCCCCCCCCCAGCAAAACGCAGATTAGGAGATCCCTGGGAAAGTGGGGGGCAAGGCTGCTGGCTCCCCCAGTCCTCCCACTAAGCCCCCCCCCCCAGTTTCCACCGGCTGGGGGGGGGAAGAGAGAGATCACCGCCTTGAGCTAACCCCCCCCCCATTTCTCTCTCTCTTTTTTGCAACTGCCAAGATTTTTCACCGAGAGTCACTTTTGTCCCGGCCCGCCACGTCGATAAAAGAGCCGCGCGCTTCCCCCCCCCCTTTCTCTCTCTCCACCGCGGAGCCACCACGGGGCCCTTCTCGGACCGCTCCGCTTGCTCCGCCGCGCCGCCCGCGCGCTCCAAGAGCCCTTTTCGCCTGGCAATGGACACGTTGAGCCTTCCTCGCAATAAACCCCCCCGCGCCTTTCTTCCTCTTCCTCCTCCTCCTCTTAAGCGCTCCCCCTTCCTCCTGGCAATAGGCAGGTTGAGCCTTGCTCGCAGCAACCCCCCCCTTTCGTCTTCCTCCTCCTAAGCGCTCCCCCTTTTCTCCTCGCTATAGACGTGTTGAGCCTTCCTCGCAGCGACCCCCCCTTTCTCCTTCCAAGCACCCCAAGACCCCTTTCTCCTTGCGATCCGGCCTTACTCGTAGCGACCCCCTTTTCTTCTCCTTCCTCTCCCTCCAGAGCACCCCAAGACCCCTTTCTCACTTGCGATCCGGCCTTCCTCGCAGCGACCCCCCCCTTTCTCCTTCCAAGCACCCCAAGACCCCTTTCTCCTTGCGATCCGGCCTTCCTCGCAGAGACCCCCCCCTTTCTTCTCCTTCCTCTTCCTCCGGAGCACCCCAAAACCCCTTTCTCACTTGCGATCCGGCCTTCCTCGCAGCGACCCCCCCTTTCTCCTTCCAAGCACCCCAAGACCCCTTTCTCCTTGCCATCCGGCCTTCCTCGCAGCAGTCCCCCCCTTTCTCCTCCTTCCAAGCACCCCAAGACCCCTTTCTCCTTGCGATCTGGCCTTCTTCACAGCGATCCCCCCCTTCTCCTCCTTCCTCTTCCTCCCCAGCACCCCAAGACCCCTTTCTCCTTGCGATCCGGCCTTCCTCGCAGCAGTCCCCCCCCTTCTTCTCCTTCCTCTTCCTCCTCCTCCCAAGCCTCCCCCCTCCCGCTTTCTCCTCGCAAGAGACACGTTGCGCCTTACCCGGAGCGACCCCCTCCCCTTTTCTTCTTCTTCTTCCTCCTTCTCCTCCTCCTCCTTTGGACTTACTTTGGACTTGTCAAAGCGGCCAACCCCCTCCCCGGGGCCGGCTTGGTTGGCTGGGCAGGGGGGCTGCCGCCTCCTTCCCTTCGGCTCTGCACTGGAGCGAGCGAGCGGGCGGGCCACCTCGGTGGGGCCGGGCCGCCTCTGGCTGGCTGGCTGGCCTCCTCCCGCGCTGGCTTTCCCCCCCGCCGGGGCTCCTGGCACTAGGCAGCGCTGTCACATGACGCCGGCGCGGCTGGCTGGCTGGCTGGCTGTGCCAGGCTCCCTGGGCCGGCGGGGGTAACTAAGAGGGCGGGCAGGGCGGAGGGCCGGCGGGGAAGGGAAGGGAGGGGAGAGGCGGGCAGGGTCAGGGAGGGGCGCGCCGATCACTCAGCCGGCTGAGCAGGCAGGGCGTCGGCTCGGCTGGGCTGCCGGGCCGGGGCGAGGCTTCCGCGCCCCGCCAGGGCTCGGGGCGCGGCTGGAGTCCCGCCCGGGCTGGGCGCCTCCCGCGCGGGCAAAGGCGGGCGGGCGGGGCGCTGCAGCCGGCCCCGCTTTTCCCCCGCCGGGCTAGAGCCGGGCCGGCTGCGGCGGGGGCGGCTCCTCCTGCCCCAGCCGGCGGCTTGGGTCTCTCTCTCCCCCGCCTTGCAGCAGCAGCAGCAGCTGGAAGGGCGAGTTTGGCGGCGGCTGCTGCGCGCCCGCCTTCCCTTCCCCGCCTCCCTCCCGGCTGGCTGGCCGGCCGGCCGGCCTCCCCCCGCCCGCGGCTCCTCAGCACCTGGCACCCGCCTCGGAATGAGACACACAAACACACACACACACACCCGGAGAGACGGGGTGGAGGGGGGGGAGGAGAGGTAAGCACACGCCCGCCCTGCAAGGCAAACTGCAGCGGCGCAAAACAGCAGCAGCAGCAGCCGCCCTGCCAACCTCTTCCCCCCCCCCCGCAAGCTAAAGGCCCGGGGGCAGGAAGGGAGGGGTGGCCCGGTAGGGTGGAAGCGGCCGGCCCCGGGCCAAGCCCGCGCCACCAAGGCAGCAGCCGGAGCCACCCCGATCGGATCGGCCATGGGGAGAAGAGGGGGGTAGGTCCCCTGCACCCAGGACCGAGGCCACGGGTCTTGGGGGGGGGGTTGGCAATGAGAGCTGGCCACAGGGAAGAGGGTCCCTTGCACCCAGGACCGAGGCCAAGGGTCTTTGGGGGTTCGGCAATGAGCGTAGCCTATAGGAAGAGGGGGGGAGGGTCCCTTGCACCCAGGACCGAGGCCAAGGGTCTTTGGGGGTTCGGCAATGAGCGTAGCCTATAGGAAGAGGGGGGGAGGGTCCCTTGCACCCAGGACCGAGGCCAAGGGTCTGGGGGGGGGGTTGGCAATGAGAGCTGTCCACAGGGAAGAAGGTCCCTTGCACCCAGGACTGAGGCCAAGGGTCTTTGGGGGTTCGGCAATGAGCGTAGCCTATAGGGAAGAGGGGGGAGGGTCCCTTGCACCCAGGACCGAGGCCAAGGGTGGGGGGGGGTTGGCAATGAGAGCTGTCCACAGGGAAGAAGGTCCCTTGCACCCAGGACTGAAGCCAAGGGTCTTTGGGGGTTCGGCAATGAGTGTAACCTATAAGGAAGAGGGGGGAGGGTCCCTTGCACCCAGGACCGAGGCCAAGGGTCTTTGAGGGGTTCGGCAATGAGCGTAGCCTATAGGGAAGAGAGGGGAGGGTCCCTTGCACCCAGGACCGAGTCCAAGGATGTTTGGGGGTTCCGCAATGACCGTAGCCTATATGGAAGAGGGATAAAGAATACCTTTGACGTGGGAAATGATGGTCCCAGCTATCCTATTGAGGCTAAGGCCTTGCTTGTATCAAGAAACCCACAAGTGTCCTGTTTCATAGTTACTAAGTTTTTTTTCCTGAGAATATAAACATTTGCACTTACCTGCATCATGATTTCAAAATATTTAGGAAACAGGTGAAAAAAAATGCTTCAAAGGATCTAATGCATGGGGGATGGTGGTGTTTGTTTTGTTTTTATTGCTTTGTCTATCTTTGCTTTGTTTTTATAAAATTTCTCTCTCTCGCATTTTGCATTTTACCTTAACTCTCTGAATAAAATAAAAAAAAAACTATTTAAAAAAAATAAAAATTCGTACCATTTTAACAGTTTGAGGTCCACAAAAATCAAAGGAGTTCAAAGAGATAGATAGATATAGATAGATAGATAGATAGATAGATAGATAGATAGATAGATAGATAATGATGATAGACATAGATAATGATAGAGATAGATAGAGAGATTGGTAGATAGATAGATAGATAGATAGATAGATAGATAGATACTGATAGATAATGATAGAGGGAGATAGATAATAATAGAGATAGATAGATAGATAGATAGATAGATAGATAGATAGATAGATAGATAGATAGATAGATGATAGAGGGAGATAGGTAGGTAGCTAGATAGATAACTGAATAACCTAATGTCTAATTTTATTTAGTGATGTCATGTGGCATTTTAAACACCGTCTGAGTATTTTAGGACCCAGTCTTGATTGCCAGACGGATAGTCCTCACAACAATTTGTTTAGTTCAAAGTTAACAACGGCGCCGAAAAAAAGGGATTTTTGACCATTTTTCACACTTAACAACCGTTGCAGCATCCCTGTGGTCATGTGATCAAAATTTGGACACTTGGCAACTGTCTCACTTAGCAACAGACATTCAGGACTCCAAATTGCAGTCGTAAGTTGAGGACTTGCCGGCAATGTCGAAAGCGCATGCCGCGTTTCTGAGCTTGGACCGGCTTCCGTTGAAGATGTGTAGCTTAATCAGGCTAGGTTCTCAAAGGTTCACTGACTCCATAAATATAAGAGAATATCTTACTACCACACTCTCCGTGCAAACGTAAGAGAATGACCGAAGCCAGGGACTTGTGGCCAAATGATGTGGTGTATTTTGGTGTGGCAGTTAGCCCAGCATATAATGAATTGGTCCATCTGATCCAGCTATTCTATGTCGTAAGAGGTGTGGTGAGGAGTCGGTTTTTCCAGTTTGTCAGCACGTGACAAGCTATGTTCAGGAGCAACGACGCGAACGGATGTCAGCTGTATCTGCTCCTTTCGCTTCGTTCCTTTCGTATCTACCTCCCATTATTGTTTCCGTACTCCTAATTGTTGAAAAGAGGGTAGTTAACGTGGGCAAGAAAGCTTTGGCCACGGACCCCGATGTTTTAGTAAGTAAGGCCTGGAGACTAAAACGTACGAAGAACGGCTGTGGGACTTGGGCCTGTCTAGTCTGAGGAAAAGAAAAAATAGGGGAGAGATGATAGGAGTGTTCCAGTATCTGGGGGGGGGGGCTGCCACAAGGCAGAGGGGGGGGGCAGGTTGTTCACCAGAGCAACAGAGGGAAGGACGAGAAACAATGGTTGGAAACTGATCAAGGAGAGAAGCGACCTGGAATTAAGGAGAAACTTCCTGGCAGTGAGGACAATTAACTAATGGAACAGCTTGCCACCAGAAATCAGTGCTCCAACACTGGAGGTGTTTAAGAAGAGACTGCACATTCGCCTGTCTGAGATGGTATAGGTTCTCCTGCTTGAGCAGGGGGCTGTACTAGAAGACCTCCAAGGTCCCTTCCAGATTCTCTTCTCTCTTC